ACTTTGCATATTTCAGGGACTTTTATTTTGAACTGTTTTTATTTCATGCTGTTTTACTATTTCAGGCTGTTTTATTTCATGTTTTATTTCATGTTTTATTTCATGTTTTATTTCATGTTTTATTTCATGTTTTATTTCATGTTCCAGAATAGGGGGCGGTATTCAGGAAATGATCTGTTTCAGCACCAGAGGGAGGAAACTCGCCTGCCTGGCCTTTCTTCACAATAAAACATTCATTTCATAAATAAAACACAGACATAAATCTATAAATGAGTTGAATGACTGTCACTCTGTGATTATAAAGGCTTTGCAGAGATACTTATGGTGGCTTTTGGACAAAAAGACCTGATTTTATGACTCAGATTAATGGGAATCTTTTTCTGGACAGGTCAGAGCTTTGTCGACTGAGCCGAATTTTTAAACATCTTTCGAAATACAGGACGTTCAAATTTCGTGCGGCTAGCACCTAAAAAATGTCTGTGCAGAGAACTCTACTTGAAAACAGACCATTTTAGTCATAACTGGAGACAGGAAGGTGCTGGTTGCATGAAATTTGAAAGCCTTACATTTGGAAAGATGTTTAACAATTCGGCTTAGTCAACAAAGCTCTGACCTACCAGGAAAAAGATGGCCATAATTTATGTGAGTCATAATTCAGTCAGAGAACACGAACTGACAGAAAAAAAAAGATTTTGTCCATAGGCAGAAAGAAACAAGTTACAAAACCCTTTCTGCTCACAGAAGAACAAGCTTACAACACAGAACTGGAGGAAAATCTGTCATATTTTGCTTTTATACTGAGAAAAAAAGCAAGTGTTTGGGGATACAGGCTATTCAATAAAACAGGGTTATTTGTCCAAAAGCCACCATAAGTATCTCTGCAAAGCCTTTATAATCACAGAGTGACAGTCATTCAACTCATTTATGGACTTATGTCTGTGTTTTATTTATGAAATGAATGTTTTATTGATTTTATTGATTTGTTTTACAGTTCATTTCCTGAATAACGCCCACAGAGAAAACTCCGCCCCCTCATTTGCATATTGGACCATGAAATAAAATGACATGAAATAAAAAGGAAGTTCTGAATAAAAGTCCCTGAAATATGTAAAGTAGCTTTACAAAATAAGTGTCACAAAAAAACTACAATATGTAATAAATCAATTTAAATATAAATAATTAAATAAATAAGGTAAATTTTTATTTATAGATAAATATAAAGATGTGCTAAAAAGTATATAATTTTATTGGTTTTGTTTTATTTCACAGGGACATTTATTTGATGGAATGTTTATTAATACTTTATTAATTACATTATTTATTTATGTATTTATTTTTGAATTAAAGGGCTCTCCATACATACATAGTTCATTATTGGATTTAAGTAGGTCAAAACCATTAACACCTTAAATATTCCAGACCAAACGCTCTGAGGCCTTGTACACATTAGAAGGTTTCTTGTGAACACATAATTTTTATTTTTATTTTTGTGTGTGTCTGTGTGTGTTTTAGTCTTGCATGAAAACATTGCTTTAGAAGCCCATACGATGGTAATTTTTGAAAATGGATTCCAGAGTGTGAACATTTTTAAATGTTGCACGTGCGTTTTCTGTGAACAACCTAAACGCAGTCTTTTTGTAAGACGGTGATGTCATAGATCCATCTTTAAGATTAGAACTCTACCAAGCTTGGTGGACACATGGACAGCAACAATAAACCATAAATGGACTGTATTCTACACTTTTCTATCCAACCAGGACACTCAAAGCTCTTCACTCTACAATCTGTGTCCTCATTTATCCATTCACACAGCACTCTGTTAGGTCTCTACAAAGCTAACATGTACAATGAACAATCATCTGTGGAGACTAATCAGAGCCAATCACATTCATACACTGATGGGACACATCAGAGGCATTAGAGGTGAAGTGTCTTGCCCAAGGACACAACAACTGAGACAGCTGGACGAGGGATTGAGCCGGCGATCTTCTGGTGACTCTGCCACAGCCGCCCCAATAACAATTTACGTTTGTGCTGCGAACAGTTTATCAACTACAGCAAAACCTTTTTAAACTCTTTTACTGAACAGACAAAGCTAATGATCAATAATAGCTTTAATGGGTTTACTTCAGAAAACTGGATAAATTAATTCTGTGTACAAAAAAAACCTGAAACTTGTTCTGTCCTGACACCTGTTCTCAATAAACCCAGATTCATCTGGTCTTTTCTGGTGTTCTTTGTCACTGTGTTTAGGACAAACAGTCGCACAAACCTGACAAATGAATCACTGTGTTATCTCTCAAGCAGTAAAGTGGTTGTGTTAATGTCACTCATCAGTTGTCTTACATGCTCTGATTACCATCATGATGGGTGAAGAAATTGCTCTTGCTGGCAGAAAACTGGGAAAATGTTCTGGATTTGTACAATAAAAACTATTTTTTTAAATTCTACAGTAAAATAATAAAATATTCATTGCAGTGATAGTACAAGTGACAATTTAACATAATCTAAAGTGAGTTTCTTGTCACCTCTGAGGATTTTGGAGAAATAAATACTTTAAAATGACAAATGAACATACAGTATGCTGGATAGTCCAGGGGTCTGCAACTGGCATAATTTATTTGCAAATATGTGGTCAATATTACTAATACAAAAAGTAAAACATGCTAGCCTGTTGTTTACTTAAATATTCCAATTTCTTTCTATGACCTTTCATTCATATCCATCAGAATTACCTTTAAATAATTTGAAGACTACATATTAATAAGAATTAGAAAATAAACATGGCTGAATAATTCAGTTGTACTACTTTTTATTAAATTTGGTATAAACTACAACGGGTAAAATAAGTATTGAACACGTCACCATTTTTCTCAGTAAATATATTACTAGAGGTGCTAATGACATGAAATTTTCAA